CAGTAATATAGTATAGCGGTACTTCTAAAGACATTATTATGCAGATAAATGATTAAAAAAAACTATCAAAAGGGCTTAAGAAAAGTCCTTTTACCTTTTCTTCTTTATACATTCTGACAGTTACCAAGACCTTATTTACCCAAAGTATCTAAAAAAATGGTTTTGCTCAGGAAATGAACAGATTGGCCACTTGAAATAAGAGCACTAATCTTTTCTCTAGAAGTCACTTTTTGAGTGAATTTATGGCTTGCTTGGTCTAATTCTCCACCACCACCACCAAATATATCAGCATTACCAGTGTCAAGAATTTCAAAGAATATCCTTCCTTTTTTCTAGTTAAGAGATAATTAAAGATTTCTTCCCTCTACATAGTGTTTTGTTTTGTTTGTGCTAGGGATTGAATCCAGGGCTTCATACATGCTGGGCAGGCGCTCTACTGCTGAGCTGCCTCCCCAAAGCTAAAACATCTCTTGAGATACAAAGGAAGGATAAGAGTATCTGTTCAGATTTTCCAGAGCCCCAGGAAGAAATGAGATGCCCTTAAAGCTTAGTCAAGATGATTCACCAGCACTCTCCACCCAACACCAGTGGGCTGGCCTTCTCCCCCTTTTCTTCCAACCTATAAAATTATGTAAAATGCAAGTTTTACTGCCTAAAAACTGTTTAGTTGGGGGGGGAGCTTTGTTGTTAGCTTTTAAATTGAAGTTTCAACTACTTGGTTACTGTAGTGAAAAAGTTGTATGGTAGCTTTATGTGCACCTCTACACCACAAAATAATTTCCTTTATGCGCTGTTATTCAAAACTTCTTTAATCAGTTTTATTTTGTTAAAGTACCTTCTAATCTCTTAACAAATAAAAACTACAAATCAAATAGTTCTACATTCCCACAAACAAAGGCTAATGGGTAGCTCTAGGATTATATTTTCATTCAGAATTGGAAAGGAAATATGGATAACATTTTTCACCCAGAACTTGTGAAGCATTAGTACTGGAGCACTATTAGTAACATACTATTAAATTTCAGGCAAGGCACTTAACCTCTCTGCCCCTTTCTCCATCTGGAAATTCAGAAGATAAGTAGTCCACGTCAACGACACAGTTTCAAAGGTGCACTGAGAAAGGATTGGAAAGCACTTTACAAATATTAAGTGCTCTGTAATTACTGCTTGTTGTGACAAACTATTTTCAAATCCATCCAGGATAAAAAAAAAAAAATACCCTGCAACCTCTAATCTCAACTGAACAGTATGACCTGCATAAGGGTACAGCAGGAAAGGAAATTAGTCTTAAGCAAATTTTTGGCTACTATAAAAAACGGTGCTGCTGGAGAGACATTTGAAGAAGGAAATTTTAATATATTAAAGTGGTTTGTGGAAGCACAAATCATGCTACTCCAACAACCAATTTCTTTCCTTCCTTTTTTCCAGCTCAACACAGACCTCAAAAATTCTCTTTTGTTAAAATCTGAGCTAGGGTGGATATTTTTTCTATTAAATGAAAACCATTACTACAAGAGCCAAGGTATAATTATCCTCCACCTGCAGTCATGCAAACTTAAAATTTGAAGGAATTCAGTTCTTCATAGAGAAAGATTTTCTGCTCATGAAGAGTGAATTAAATCAATTCTAATGTTTTAACCGACAGGGTGGTCTTGAAAATATATGTTATTTTCTCTACTGTTTAATTAATCATCAGTCAACACATTTCTTGCCCGCCTATTACTATGTGTGAAGCAGTATGTTAAGCTCTTATATGGAATAAATTCGTTTTTAAACAAAATAGTAAAGCAAAAATCAAGAGAACTCCTAAGAGCTCTGAATCTATTTGGATAGATATGAGACATACATGGGACAATATAAGTGATACCCCTGGGTTGTCATGAATATGGGCCAAATGGCTCATTCAGATAGGAAATACAGAGTAAAAGACAAACTTCTCTGAGGTAGGGTGGTCAGGGAAGGCTTCTAAAAATAACCTAAAAAGAAGCAGGATAAGCAGTCAGTCTTGGTGCATCAGAGCAGGCAGAGTGGTAGGGAGATGAGAGATGGTTAGTAGATGGTTAGCGAACAAGAGAAATGTTCCAGAAAAGAAAACTGATTTGAAGATGGTAAGATGATGCAAATGGAATGAAGACAAGAGTACAGGTCAGCTACATACATTTTCTCTTGCGCACACACACACTCTCTGTCTCTCTCGCGCGTGCACGCGTGCACACACACACACACACACACACATACACACAAGCACACACACACAACATGATCCTTGCAACAACTAACAGCTTTTTTGCTCCCTTCCCATATAGCTTCCATGCTGTTCATTGCTTATATTAAATGAGCTATCATATGGAAGTATTTTGGTAAAATGCTATGACACCAAGCTTTACATCTTTATGTAATATCAAATTCAAGAGCAGATGTCAGGGCAGCAGAGAAAAGCTGCATACGTTGTAGTGTCATCCCTGATTCTGCCAATGAACACTGAGGAAGAGAAGGCAGGAAAGGAAAGGTAGGTTTTGCCCATGGGTAGGAAAATGAATGCACCTTGAGCATAATGCTAAGGGACATAAATGAGACACACCAGCTCAAGTATCATATGGTTCCTCTTACATGAGAAACCCAATGTATAAATAGTTTAATGAGTAAAATAAAAATAGACACTAGGAAACAGGGAAATAGATCTTTTGCAAAGACATGGAGGGAAAGGGGGAGGGCAAGGGAAGTAAAAGGAATTAAGAGGCGTTATGGACCTGTAACAACTTCCCACAATGAATGTAATCATTACGTACTGCAAGCATGTACTGATAAAAATTGAAAAGTTAAAACAAAAAATCTCCCCTCAGAAATTATCCAAAAAGCACACTGAGGTTTCAAAAAAATCCAGGTTAGCTGTTTTCGATTCATGTTGTATTATACTCACAAATAGCAGTGAAGTCAACTTCTTGAGCATTTAAGTAAGAGGAATAATAGCTCTGCTTTCCCAAGTTTGACTGACTCATGAGTTGTGTGTTCTTTTTATTTCAAATAAAACAATTCTGTAGGCTTCCTTGAAAACATCATGTTCTGCTTACCCATTCTCCCTAGCCTTCCTTAGCGCGCACACACACAGCCTAGGTCATCAGGAAGTATTATTTATTTATTTATTTGTTTGTTTGTTTATTTATTTATTTATTTTTACCTATTTCTGAGACCGAGCCTCGTTCAGGCTGAGTCACCCAGGCTGGCTTTAAGCTCTCAGTCCTGCCTTAGCCTCTGTAGCACTGGGTTGTGCACATGTACCGTCGCGCTGAGTAAGATTTGAATTTAGAAGATGAAGAAGCTGAGAAGCATTCCTGTAGAAAACAGAAATCTAGCATTTGTCAAACAACAAATGAGACCTTTTAATAATCACTTTGTTAGACTGTGTTCTTTGATGTAACTATTGTTTGTACAATGTATTATTGCAAGCAAATCACCTGCCTCATCAAAGTAGGTTATTGTGGCTTTGATGAAAGTTTACAAACTAGCAGGACTTTAATGGGAAAAAAAACATTTTTTTTTGGTATCAGGAATCAAACTCAGGACCTTGCTCTTGCCAGGCAGGTGCTTGTGCCCCTGAGCTATATCCCTGGCCCTGGTGCAAATTTTTGAACAAAATTCAAAATATGTAGAGAAGCCTCTAGATTTGGATTTTAGCCATTTGAATTCGTGACACTTGGAAAAATAGCCTATTAAAATCTGGGCTTAGTCCTGGTCATTGTGATAACCTTTGGTGAAAACTAAGGACACTATTATAAATTAAAGTCTCTTTCAGTTACTAACCAGAATTACTTAGGAGTTCAGGAAAATTCAACGCATAACTATACATAATCTACTTTTTATTGTAAAAGCCTGGTTAAAAAAAATGTATTTTGAAGAACTTTTGCTGTTATGTTACTGCTGAAGACTGAATCTAGTGAATGTGTTTGCTTCCATAGCCTTCTTTTTTTCAAGACACGTACGTTCCCAAGTGTACTCATTTTCTCACTTCAGAAGATTTGAGAGTCTTCATGCATCTAGATTCTTTCTTTCTTTCTCTTCTTTTCACCTCTCCTCTCCTGTTTCTATTCTCTCTCTCTCTCTCTCTCTCTCTCTCTCTCTCTCTCT